CCATCGAAAACTTCGCTTGATTTCTTCTAATAAGATGTTTGGCAGCAGAAAGATATCAAAAAAATCTTGCACTTACTAATTTTCTTCGCCCTGCTGACTTTTTAGCATGGCAGGCGATTGTGTAAATTATTCATAAAGCACACTCCGACCGTTCTACGTAAGTAGCTCGATAAATGTTAGATTTTAAGTTGAAAATATAATTAGAGATAGTTTTTAGACCCCACCGATTGATAATCCTTATTCCCAAAAACCTTTTCAGATATTTCGGCATATTTTTGCCAAACCTTAGGATCCTGTCACGAAAGAACAACGAACCGACGCCATTTATTCTATTCCTTGCAATGATTGCGACAACGAATACATCAAAAAGGAAAATTCAGCTTTATCGGAGCACACATGCCTAACTAACCATACATTTGGGTGGGATAGATCTAAATTAATACCACTAATCGGCGTAACCACCAGCGCCTTCGTTAGGAAGCTTGGCATATTTACTCCGCCCACGCTCCTTTAAATCGTGATGATGACGCTTTACTTCCTGACGCCTATTTACACCTCGTCAGAAAAAAGGCAGCTCATCAGTGATCATATAAAAGGACCTCTTGTTGCAGCGTTTAGATCACCCCTGATGACGGCACTAGACAGTGGTGTCGAAACGTTGGGTCTATGAATTGTAAGTAACTTTTTCGGTTACATTCATTAAATCTTTAAACCAGAGAAGTATCAAACCAAAGTCTATCCTAATTTACTTCTCACGTCTAAATAACGCAGAGATTTCTCGGATTTCTGCCTGACAGGAACAAATGATATTTGATCGTCACACCTGTCTGCATAGCAATCTCGGTTCATGACTTTGGAGACTTCTTATGAAAAAGGATATTGCATTCGCATAACGCGTGGACGTCATAACTAGATTGCATAACAACTGCACTCCGAAATCATTACCCTCATCTTTGCAAGAAGTGCTGCCTTTGTATCTCGCATTTTGAATGAGAGATCAAAATGTTTGGGTTAGGGTTAGAGGCTAGGTAATCTTCCCTCTCCTGCCAACGAGCACACCATAGATATCAAACATGATTGGATGTTTCAGTCCTCTCTCATCCATTACTGTGTTCCTACCTCTCTCGAACACTCTACGTCTATATCCGACGCGGATGCGTCTGTATCTGTGGCATCATCCGATTCTTGTTGTATTTTAGATCTTTGCTTAAGGCACATTCTCTCTCCATCTATAATGCAAACCGTTCGCATATCCTTTGCGACTTGCTCTGGGTCTTTCTTTCTGCCAATGTCTCGTCCGATATTAAATTTCTGTGTCAAGTACGGCCTGATGTTTGCACCTCTCATGAAGAGCCCATCCCATGGGAAGCTGTAAAGGAGTTGTCATGGGTTCTGTGGCCACAGCAACCAGTTTAGTCGGACTTTCACCCTCTAATGACAATGACTGAAAGTGATGACCCCACTACCTCTTCACTTTGTCATAAAGACTTTCAGTCATGCCCGCGGGCACAGGACTTACATGATGAACTAGCAAATTCATATGGAAGTCAAGGTCGGCCATGGTCCTAAAATCTTCATCGCAACCAGGCTCAGGCCATTGGTTGGAACTATCGTTGTTGCTGTCACCAGTCACCTTTGCTTTCTCCTGCTGATGCAATTTGTCGAGCAGTGGTGGGGAAGAATGGAATCTCCTCCACGAGTTCCGTCTTTTTCGGTGCCAAATTACAACTTATTCCGTGGAATAAGCTTTCCAGGTCCGACATTAAGCGCTCTCCGAACGCGCAGGTCCTATTTGTGTTGTTGTTGTAACAATCTTGTTAATTTCTAGGGATGAGTTCTGTTCCTGGACTATGCACATTGACGCCGTCGTTCTCTTGACCTGTCCTCTTTGAATGCGGTATGCATTCTTCGGTAGAAACAACAGCATGGCCTCCGTTGCAGTATCTCCTGATTGACGTTATTGACGGACACAGAATCCTGTCACACATATCTTTTCCAGCCTGCGGCTGAGAATGATCGTACCTCACGAGTTCGATTGCCTTGCGATGTACGAGCTCTCGTAGGGATGATACCAGCGTACTGTTGTGAAAGCAACCTCTTGCAACCTCTTAGAAAGGGCTTTTTTATTCCTAAATTTTGTAACTTCATGGTGACAAAGAAATTTTCAAGGACCGAAAGCACTGAAAACCAGTCTTCTTTACAGCAGTTAAGAAGGCATACATAGCAGGTTACTTCTAGGCTTTTCTCCTGTCTTACAACAACGCTATTCACATACCAATTGATTCCCCTCTAGGGTAAACTATTCTGCTTGCTTTTCCAGGAACTTCATCGCTAGGAGCTTCATTGCCCAGTCAACTACTACAAATGCTCCATTTCACTTCAAAGAATCAAGAGTTTGCCTTTTTCACTGATCCTGGTTCTCTGCTCTCAGGATATGCCCTCTCTATTCAAAGATCTTAGCGGAGGCATTTTTTGCTTCATACAGATGGTCTTCCGCTTGAACCTTACCCAACTGCATTGTGTACTCAGAAGTAGCCCCTCTTACTACTTCAAGAACACTCTCCAGCTTCTCACAATCCACACACCTCCCCTTGTGGCTAATAACACTGACTTTCAGAAAGTATACAGTCACAGCGTTGTGACTGCATACTCTCTGAAAGTCAGTGTCAACAGCATAGCTCAGTGCAAAGACCCTACAGTGATCGGCTATCATCCTTTTTGCAATGATTACGGTGTGTAGTCTTCAAATACAACTTGCTCTCCTGAAGCCTCTTGCCAACTTCTTTACACCAAACCTGTTCTACTCCCATGCGTTCCAGTTCGTCTATAATTTAATCGGATTTCCTCTGTGTGGCCTCTTGAACCTCTAGTACTCTCCACATCTTTGCAATGGTTCATGTATTGATTAATAATGGTGCACTTAACCACTGTGCGCACCACGTTAGGTATGACAAACTCTTAACCGTTCTCAAGTTTAATGGTGCGAGTACCCTTGGCTGGTCTCGATAGTAATATAGCCTCATAGTGAACTCTAAGAAGTGATCCAGCTGACGCTGTTACGTGTTTTACGGATTCTGTGACGCCGGATTTTTTCAGTAGACACTCCAGGCCGCTCACTCTTCGACTGTGCTTCTGCACTCTTTACTTGTCTATCGGAGGGGTTTTCAAATGTCTGATGTATGCATTTAAGCTCGTTGGCTGAGAATCTGTCAGCATCAATACTCAGTATTTAAGTCTTCACTGATTTTGTGGGAGCATTCTGATAGGCGACCATAGGGGTTTGAAGGCCAACATCGATAGATGTCTTGCACTTCTGTTCATGGTCTACGACCGCTTGGAATAGCGCTTTACCATCTCATGGAGCATGACATCGCACACCACCTGGCACGCTTCCCCAGCTTTTTGAACAAATCCAGATTTTTTAGGAAAGGAGCGTTTTTCCCAACAATTTACTTGGGATTCTAAATATGTAATTCTGAGCTTTTGTATAGCATTGGCAAGGCTATCAATGAAGACTTGAACTGGATCCTGGACATTTCCCCTCGCCGGTCTGAAATTCTGTATTTCTATATATGCTTTCGTCAAGCGCCAACACGGCTGAAGGAGTCCACATTTCATCATTGATGCTATGTCATAGCCTGGAAGACATTGGTCTAATAGGTGAGCTCATGGCTAGTTTGAACATTTCTAGAGCAGCATCTTTGCCTGGCCTTCGATAAAAGATCTAGGTTTTAGATGAATGTTTACACATAAGCTGGGCAACATGCTCTCAGTCAACTGGGCGCGAGTGATTAAAACTAGCAAGCGCGAGCGAGAAGTCACGCGAGAGAAAGACATCATGTCTCTTCACTCTGATGCTTCCGCCGAGAGCCTTGTACGCGGGCTAACTGTTTTAGCACCAGGAACATCTGTTTTGTAGTTTACAAAATAGCAACAAAAACTAAATCAATACAAACCGATATATCTTTCAGTGTGTCTTGCAATTAACTTACCCAAAAGGCAGCTAACTCGAGATCCTTAATACAGGCAAGACACCAGTAAGCTATGATTACTGAATTTAAGGCATATATTTGAACTACGGATAAAGACGCGAATGTGAAAGCGATTTACGCAGTAGTGAACACTTCTTGAACAGCAGTGGAAATAGGGCCTGAAAAAAAATTCAGGCCTATAGGGGATTTGAACCCATGACTTTTGCGATACCGGTGCAGTGCTCTACCAACTGAGCTAACATGCCAGCTGGGGACTGGTCATTATGTTGGATCAAAATAAACCCGTGAAGTGGTGAATAAACGACTGTGAATATACGAAAGTTATATCTTTGAACTGCGGAGAAAGACGTGAATATGAAAGTGAACTTCGCAGTAATGAACACTGCTTGTGCAGTAGTGTTCATAACTGCAGTGTTCACTAGTTGAGCAGTGGTGAACACTACTGCTTAAGGCATTTCCTTCACAGAAGCATTGTGCTTGTTGCGGTAGTTGACACAAAAAATTGGAGGTAGGAAAAAGTAAATTAATATACGAACAAGCAATTGGGAAGAGAACGGTAGACATTGGTTGAAATCGGCCACTTATTTTAAATCACTTGTTTCTATCTGAACCCACTTGAACAAGAACTCCATAAATCTTAGAAAATGGCCTTTCACTTTTGCAAATTGACAGAATACCGGCTCTTTGCCCCCTTGAGTGCCTATGCTTTGCGTACACTGGAACAGACAATGTCCTGAACTCACAGAGTTCAACAAGGGACATACGAATACGGCTGCGTGTAAAATTCATCGCGAAAAATACGGCCACTCACTCGAATGTGATGTCCAAAGGGCGATCCTCTCATGTTTTTCAAGGTTTGAAGGAATTGAAAGACCTTCATCCACTGTCGCTATCTTCTATGAAATTTGCAATGGAAACTATCACGCAAAATAAAACGTCTCGTAAGAGGAAAAGAGACGAAATGAGTGATTCGCAACAATAAGGTGACAAGGAATCCATTGCTAAACAGAGAGATGCCAAACTCTCCAATTCTTGAACGTTTGGAGCATGTTGTTGGAAGGTTCTCAATTGGAGACAAACTTAAGCAAACCAAACCTGGTACACGTGAACATGAGCTGGAGTTCCCAGGTTATCCTTCAGATGATAGTCTGTGTGTTGTTGTTATTATAAAAGAATACTTGGCACGTACCAAACACCTTCGTAAAGGTATTACAAGTAAAAAACCATACAAAAGCAGCTAGTAAGAGTACTATATCTCGTTAGATTAAGAGCACTTTAGGTCTGGCTGGTATTGAAATAAGTCGTTTTAAACCTCATAGTGTTGGGGCATCATCAACCAGTGCAGCTACACTTGCTAAGGTACTTCTTGATGCCATTCTCCGAACTGCTAGTTGGTCAAGACACTGCACCTTTGCAAAGTATTACAAAAGAAAACCCAAGAACATGAGAATTTGCCAGAAGTTGAAGTTTGATGGTAATTCTATTGAGTCATGGATCTCATGCCCACCCTTACTTGCTTATGAAATAAACCCACCCAATTTAAGATTTGTTCGCTTTTCAAAGTTGATTTCTGGGATTGGATTGCGCAATTTATGTGACTAGCCCCTCATGATGACTCAATAGAATTACCATCAAACTTCAACTTATAGGTAAGTCTCGTTTAACTCTTAGTTTATTGAGCTATTTATGTAAAACAGTTGCAGTTTGCTCAATAAACTTATTTGATAATTGTCTGTCCCGCTAGCAAAATCGCTGAAAGTTGCCCAGGGCGAAGAACAATATTAAGTGCAAGATGTTTTGATATTTCTCTGCTGCCAAAAATCTTATTAGAAGAGATCAAGCGGAGATTTTGATAGTCTGATCTGGACTTGAGAACAAGAAAGAAAGAATACTTTTTAAATACATTATGAGGAACCTCTGAATAAACGAATATCAAATGCTTTTTATACACCTTACATGTCACACAGCTTAAGAACACAAAATACTTTTTTTGCTGCATGCGGTGTCATACGAGGACCGGGCTTGTCAACTTTTGAAATTTTCGATGTTGCAAGAGGTCAAAAAAGGGCCTTTTGCAGAGTGGCCTATTGAGAGCTCAAAACATTTATTGTAACGTATTTGGATAAACTAACGTGGTTTTATTTACTTACTACCAAAGATAATTTATTGGGCAAAGTTTGAGGGAAAACTTTGCTCTGATGCGAAATGCCCTGGACCGCTCTTACACAGACCGAAAGTATTACATCTCGATTTAAACTGGAAGTATTGAAATACTTATATAGCAGAAATTTTACTCAAAAGTTTTCGTCTAGAGTATATTGCACATTCAAGGAACCACGGCGAAGAAAATAACATGTCTGTACCAAACATAAGATGAAGAAATTCTCATTAAAAACAATACAATATGACATTATGACAGTAAAACTGGAGATATAAAAATGTATTACTTCGATCATGAGTAAAAATTAGGTTGCGTTTAGTTAGTTTTCATTCTTTTAAAATTCAGGCTTTTACGTTTGCACTTCGGTTAAAAGCTGGTGCCAAGCTAAAAGTAGAGACAGAGTGAGATTTGTATCGAATACAGAATAAAATCTCTCAACGAAACCTCTGATACAAAACACCAATGAAATACCAAGTAGTTATACACTTTCACGCGAAAAGTGATATCTTCACACGGTAGACAAATTTCTTATTTCTGCGCGGCCATGTAATATCCTCTAATTCATATTCAAGGTTTTTTCTTGTTCGAAATCTTAAAATATTATTGGCCGAAGCGGGGAATTTGTGAATTGACTTTATTAAAGTGATACGAATCTTAGCTTAACAATGGAGGTCATCTCGCTCAATCAGTCCAACGAGGGAAGAGTTTATTCATGGAGAGCTCCACGAATCAATTTCGTGTTTACATGTAGGAAGTTTTAATTTCTTGAACTCATATTATTTTTTTCTTGGGAAAGTGTCTGGAGGTCGAAAAGAGAAGTGTTTTCTGGGATAGCTGAGCTGGAATTTTCTTTTTGGCACCATAATTCCTTGAAACTAGTCGAAAGTTCATAAATACACAAAACCAACTTTCATTTGAGATTTAAAATGCTGTACTTAATTCACCTCACGTTGTTGTTCATGCCATATTGAAAATTCACAATAGCAATGATCCCCTTGCAATTCTCAAACTTCGAAGATTCTTGCAACAGCATGTTCTTCCACTTGAAACTTCAAACCTTCTTTATCAAGATTGTCTGACGAGGCGGAGATTCACAAAATGGCTCTAGGGAAATAATCAAGTACCACTTGCGATTATCTCGCTAAAACGAGAGGTCAACTGAGAGATACTGAGTCATCTACTTTGACGCCCTGGTAATCTTGCAGACCGAAGTAAATCTAACGGTAGTAATTTGGGTAGACTCCTTTCTTTGTCTTTACCATTCAACCCCAAAGGTGAATTTCGTATTTCTCCCATCAAACAGCAATTTATTTCGTTGCGAAGAATTACAGAGAGTTTCAGGACTGTTATTGATTGCTAACATCTTCGAGTCGATAAGTTCCCTGTTTTTTACGACAGACCCGTCAGTGGGAAAGATTGGTCATATGCGCAAGGGTGTTGCCTTTGAGGCTTTCAAAGTACAAACCATTTCAGTACACAAAATGAGTGAAATATACACCATAAGGCCACCTAACGAGGTAACAAGATGAAAATGGAAAAAACATCTAATCAACAGTTTACCATGTGTGCGGGTTAAACAAAAAGAATCAACGAGCCTGAAAGGAACAAACACAGTCGCGAATAATTGTGAACGAATCAAGAGAATACAGATTGTTAATAATCTTTTGAAATGATGCAATGATTTGACCAAAGATAAGACTACAAAATTTGCTCTACATAACATCATTTTGCCTTGGATATCCCTTTAAAATACATTTTATAAACATGAATATCGGCGATAAATTTTCGCATTTTCACATATATGGAGCCAAAATGTGTGTTGAGTGTAGTACATATGACGGACGATTCAAAGACTTTAGGCAAAAGTAATTATGATGCCGCAAGAAATGTAATTCTCGCTCAGTTTACCTGAGAGAAAAATGTTTCTTCTTTCTATTGAGCACTTGTTTAATTTGACTCACTGACACATTCAATTGTAAATTCTAAAAAAGAATTAAGCAAAGTAACAAACTGATGGGTATGATGTTAAATTAAAAATTTTTGATATTAAAAAAGAATTAAAGGTGTGAAAAACGGATCCCGCCCCATGTTATATCATTTTACTCCGTGTACTATTATGTAACTGTAGGAGACTAAACTAAACCCTTCAGTCAAGTACGCGATGCATATTTTGCCTTGTTTTTTTCTCATAGAAATATTTAAAATATAGCTCCCTAGCATTTTCCTGGTTATTAGTACGAAAATGCAACGAAAAAGTAAATAAATATGCTTTAAAGTTGTGAAAAAACGGATCCCGCCCCATGTCATATAATTTTATTCCGTGTAGTATTATGTAACTGAAATATTTAAATATAGCTCTGTAGCATTTTCCTAGCTATTAGTACGAAAATGCAACGAAAAAGTTAACAAATATGTTTTTAAAAAAACTGAAAAAAAAATTGTTATTCTTTTCTATTAAAAATAATTTTTAGTTTGTTCAGTTGTTCGTGCCTCAAAATCGAGATCATTTGTCTTTACTCAAACCTCTCACAGCTAAAAGTCCTCACGTTTCCATTTGACAATGTGTTCTATTCGGGTAGGTTTTAAAGGCGAATGTTTTCCTCCTTTTTGAAATGACAGAAATATAGCCAAAAGACAACGGAACACAAGCTAAACTATGGGGAGCCCTGACCAGAAATAAAATAAAATTAATAACTACACAAAACCAACACTCAGTTAAGGTTGAAACGGTGCTCTGTGCTCGCCTCACGTACACGCGGTAGTTATGTCGATATTGAGAATTCACAATGGTTGTGATTCCCTTGTACTCCTCAAACTTCTAAGATTCTTGCCACAGCATTTTGTTGCGGTTAAAACTTCAAACCTTCCTTATCGTGGTTGGTCTTGACGAGGCGGAAATCCACAAAATGGCTGTGTGGTAATAAAAAAAATTAAGAACGATCCGTGATTTTCTCGTGGAAATGAGATGTGTAGTTATTTAGTCTTCAACTTATGTTCTAAGCCCAGGTAACAATTTCTTAACAGTGCGTTCGAGTTGAAATCATGATTGTAAGCGATCAAAATAAAATCTGATAAGTGTCCACAACTGGAGCTTTATCAAGCTTGGCAATTATGTAATTCGATGCTATTGAAAAGTAATGATCACAAAATTCGGAAATTTTTAGCGAATTTAGGCCAATGAAAGAACGAGCAAATCTCGGAGGCGACTTTAAACATTCGAATACACTGCTTCTAAATATATTTCGCCAACCCATAGTTTGTCCTTCAACGATGCATGTGTCACCCAACAGTCATTCTCCCATTTAGTTCAGACAATATTTCGATCGACTCTTTCGTCGATAACTAACCTTTCAACCTCAGGAATGAAATTCGTATTTCTTTGGATAGTGAGAATTTCCTATCACTGTCAACACCTTCAAGAAGTTAAGTTCGCCGCTTCTAATTACTTAATTTCATAACAATGGACTGAATTTATACTACAAAGTTACATAACAGTTGGTGACTTTTTAGGGACTCGGGAGGGAAACGCATTAAGATCAAGTCAGATACATGTCTGTACACAGCAGTCGAAGCCAACGTAATTACCTGTAATTGTTTTTATATCGACAATTCGGCAATTTCCCTCCTTCAAGCATCAGGTACATGATAGTTTCTTCCCTAATTATTCCTTGACAAGGAGTCATTTTCTCCGAGGTTGGTTCCCAGCCATGCGTCCTGTTTTGCATGACAGGCCCGTCGATGGGAAAGTTGCCTCTTTGAAAATTGGTTTTGTGCACGAGAGTGTTGCCTCTGAGTAAAACACATTTCAGAACGCGAAATGAGTAAAACATAAATGAGCAGCTGTGTAAGAAAATTTTGATTCCACCCACAGGCAGCCCAAGCTGTGATAAGATCATCTTTCGCAATAACAGTCATGGCGGAATTATAAGAGTTTGTATGGGAATATGTACGACCGCTCTAAGGAATGAACAAATACGTCAATTTCTCAATAAAAATACCTCACCTTACTTCCACAGCGTATCGCCTGTCATCTGACCGCTTACTTTGATGAAAAAACCCCATTTTGGCGAGTTTTCCATTTCGGGGTTTTCCACGTACATAAGAAAAGCCCTTACGTACATAAAAAAAAAGGGAGACCAGACGAGTGACAACCCTTGTAATTATTTTTCGAACCGCTACCTTTGTGGGTGATATTCAACGTTTCAATGAATTGGCAAGTTAAGGCCGAAATCGTTTACAAGGCGGAGTTTTACGATTACATGGTTTAGTGTAACGATAAGGTTTGA